AGATTCTCAACATGCCAAACTCTTGCTTCTTCCTGGGAGGTGCATCTTACATGGGGAGATGATTATCTTTCTCCACATCCATGAGGTCCACTTGGATCCAAACATCTTTAAGCACAAGGGCAGGAAATTGAAAAAGGAAGCTGCAAATACTAAACTGTGGTTTAGTTCAATGGTTTTCAACCTTTGTTTTCCATTAGAGTTACCTAAGGAGTTTAAAAAGTGCTCATATTCAAATACTTCCACAGGCACTTCCAAAAAGAAGACCTAAATGGCCAATAAACATATGAAAAGGTGCTCAACTTTATTCCTCACCAGGAAAATGCAAACTAAAACCACACTGTGACTGTGACACCACTATACACCCACTAGAATGACTGATACAGAAAAAAAAAAGGAAGAAATACCAACTGTCAGCAAAGATGTGTGGCATCAGAACTCTCATGCATTACTGGAGGGAGTGGAAATTGGTACAGCACTTTGGAAAATTATTTAGCATAAGGTACAAAAGCTGAACTACTTACAACCAGACTTGTCTAGCAATTCCACTGTTTGGTCTAAACCCAACAGAAATGTAGACATGTTCTCTAAAGATCCACTTTGGAATGTGCACAGCAAGAGTGGTCATAATAGTTCCAAACTGGCAACTAAAATCCAAATATCCATCAACAGTAGAATGGGCAGATAAATGGAGAAACAGTCCAGCAGTAGTGTACTCCTCAGCAAGGAATGAACAACCACAATGGCTTGGATGAATCATCTCACAAATATAACATTGAATGGAAGAAGTCAGAGACAAAAGGGTATCTACTGTAAGACTTCATTCACACACTACATGTACCAGTGGCCTGAACCAAACTAGGCTGTTGGTTAGTGTGGGGAGCCATTCTCACACGTGACTGGGCAACTCCTGGTTTGGGTCTGAGGCGCTCTGGCTAAACTGTGTCGGAGCTTTCCCAGCCCTCTCCTGGTGCGAGAGCCTGTCCGTGTGGGGGTGTGACTGACCACTGACCCCTGGGGCCAATCACTAACCCTGACTTTGGAGTGCGGCCCCCCTCAACCTTCATTGGATGGAATTCTCCCCTGAATTTCTTGTTCCCCAATAAAAGGCTACTCCCTGGCGTGCTCCCTCTCTCTCTCTCCTGCTAGCCCTGAGTAATCCTTGCTGCCCTACTGGGTGGTTCAAGGTGGGAACCAGAGGGGGAGCCGTCTCAGACCTGGTCATAGAAAAAGGTAACTGAGTCTGTGTGTTTATTTTGATCTCACTAGTTAACTTTTATGCCAAGAACCTCATTAATGAAACCAGTGCGCTGGTGGTTAGCCTTGGAAGTCGGTAGTGACTCGAAGCACATGTAGGGGTTGCTCCCCATTTTCTGTTTCTTGATCCAGACGCCGATTACTTGGCCTAAGTTCACTTTGTGAAAATGTACCAAGCTTTACACTTATGGTTTGCGCAATTTTTTTTTTTTTACATGTATGCTGTCCTTTATTTAAGCTGGCATGCTGGCCATGGCTGTCATCCCAGCAGCTTGTGAGGCTGAGGTGAAGTGGCACCTCCTTTCTCCACAGAAAAGCCCTCTTCACCATGGCTGATTTTAGGACTGTCAGCAAAAGAGTCCATTGTAGATAAACTTCCTATTTTCGTGTCACCCTGTTTACTTGGCTACTGGCCGAGAAGATACCAGCACTTCAGGTGCTGGATACCCCCTCACTAGTTTTTCACAAACGTGTCCGTATAGTACTTTGAAGAAATGTGCAAACAAGGCCTCTGGCCTTGAGCTGGGCTTCACAGAGATGTCTACACTTTTAAGATAAGTTACAAATGGGCTCCATGGTAACAGCTGGCATGGGGAGGAAAGAAAGGGGAGAAGAAGCTCTCCCCTTCTCAGGTGTTGTCCTGGAAGAGTTAATTTGCCCAGAACAGTGAAAGAAAAAGATGCTTTTATGTGAACTTCTGCAGACTGTGAACTTCTGAGCCCCTCCCCTTACATGGTGGGTATAAAACTCTGAAACTCCCTGAATTCAGGGCTCAGAGGATTAACTGATTACAGCAAAAGCTGTGCCCTCTGAACCTGGTGCAGCCAAATAAAACTTATCTTCAGTGCCTTGCCTCGTTTGTCCCTACAACAGAGGCAGGAGGATTGTGAATTCAAAGCCAGCCTTGGCAATTGAACAAGGCACTTAGCAACTCAATGAGACCCTGTTTCTAAATAAAATACAAAAAAGGGCTGGAGATGTGGCTCAGTGGTAAAGCACCCCTGGGTTCAATCCTCTGTGCAAAAAAAAAAAAAAAAGTTTTCATTAAAAAAATTTCTTTGGAAACCCATATCAATTTAGTTAGATCTTTAGGATGGGGGCAAGGCTGAAGCATCTGTATTTTCTAATATCCCATCCAGGAGTAAAAGGCACTGGGAAAGAAATCCACTCAAAGGCCTCAAGAGGTCCTGTCAAAAGCTACTTGCAGGGCTGGGGATGTGGCTCAAGCGGTAGCAAGCTCGCCTGGCATGCGTGCGGCCCGGGTTCGATCCTCAGCACCACATACAAATAAAGATGTTGTGTCCGCCAAAAACTAAAAAAAAAATAAATAAATATTAAAAAAAAAAGCTACTTGCAGGTGAGTGTAGTGAGATGCTGGGGTGGGAGATGCCCACCTTTGCCAACTCGGAGCCTCACGCACAGGCAGAGGAGGTATTGCAGCATGCTGGGGTAATGTGCTTCTTCAGCAGCGTGTGTTGAAATCTGGTTGCATCAGTGTGTAATGGTGTGTAATGGGACCAAGATGGGTCCACTTCACCCCATCCCACCCTAGGGAAGTGGATCACTCAGCACAACCGTTACAGGGCCACTTATGGAGAGGTGGCAGCCGGACTTCCCTGAGGCTGAGGCTCTGACCATGATGGTGGGTGGGGAGGAGGTCTGACTCAGGGTGTCTGTGCTTGTGGGCAATAGCCAGCTCCGGGCTCCAGACCATGCCCACTCTCCCTGGCCTCTGTCTCCAGATTAGGAACTTGCAACATCTTGCTGAGGACTACATCAAGCTCAGCTTTGAGTGCATGGCTGAGAGCTTCCCTAACTCTCTGTGCTTGGTGGCAGCTGTGATGGCTAACTTCCAGCATATTCTGCTCAAACCACAGGCTGCTTAGACAGGATAAGACAGGACATGGGCTCACACACAGGTGTTCTACCCACCTGGATCCCATCTACTTTTTCAGAAACATGAACCAGGAACCTCCTGCTGTGGGAGGGGCCTGAGCACATTTCCCCCATCCCTCCAGGTCCCCCACCATCGATACAGAATAAGTAGGCAGGGTCTGCAGGCAGTGTCCCTGAAGGTTATATACCATCTATGAGCAAAGAGTGAACAGAATGGGGCCTCCTGCACCTCTGCTGGACAGGGACGCTGGGGGGCCTTAGCTGTGCTCATTTGGCCAAAGGACTCAGAGCAGCTTGGGCTGCAAGAGGACAAGCTGAACTGATAAAAGATGTATCATTCAAGGATGGGTGGCTAGGTTAAAAAAAATCCTTAGAAGTGACAGCAACATGGATAAGGCAGAGGGGTGTGAAAGCGTCTCTCTACTGAGGCTGCAACTTTCTGCTTCCTTGGCTTCAATCCCCTCCCTGTGGAATGGAGTGACACCTTCCACTGGTCCAGTAGGGCTGAGGGCCCACAGCTTTGCAGGAGTGGGTCACAGGGAGGTCTGGGTCTTGAGGGGTCTGCCTGTGCTGCTTCTGGCTGGCACCTCAGCCCCATGTGCCACCTCACCACTCACGACAGCAACCCCTTGCTAGCTGGAGTGACATTACCCCTTCCTGTTGACTTCTTTAAGAGGCAATTATGAAATGTTTCTTTTTTTGTGCTTCAGGAAATGAGTGGTCATAGGAGTTCTTGATTTTTTCCCCTAGAGATATGCGCTCTTCAGACAGTTACACAAAGCAGAGACAAAGGAGGGCTGACTGGGGCCAGGCGACTGAGGCGGCAAGAGAATCAGGGAGTGTCCATGCAGGAGAGTGGTGCAGGCTGGGCATGGAGGTGGACACAGGGCAGCTGGGCGCCAGGCTGCTCCTTGGACTGTGAGATGTAACCAGGGGCAAGCCTGGGTTTCCCAGTAAATAGACAAGCAGACGACTTTCCTCAGAACAAAGGCATCAAAGAGCCAAACTGACCAGAAAACACACAGGCAGGGTGGGTCCACCTGAGAGAGTCCTCATGTGAGGCCTGGGGGAATCACTCGGCCTGGATGTCCCCAAATACTCAGCTTCACCTTCCAGACCTAACAGGGATCCGTGATCAGGAAACCAGATATTTTCCCCCAAGCTGTTGATATTTGCCAGCCTGACATATAACTTCTGGACGTCATCGTGAATTCTCCTGGTTTCTTTATATACACTCTAGTAAGAAGTCAGTAATCCAGTGCCCTTTATTATCTGTATCACAGTTAAAAAACTAGGATGTGAATAAAATGAAACAAAAGTCCCTGTGTGTCCCTGAGATGTCACAAAGCTCATACCCAGGATTTCTACCATGGTCTTGCTGGGTGAATTTAGGGAACTATTTATTCTTGTGTTAGATGCAAATCAGCAAGGTTTCTGTACTGATCAGATCTCAGCAGGAAACAGATGCCCCCCCCCCACGCCGCTCCCCACCCCTGACGCCCCAGGTACCAGAGGAGAGTTTAGGCACAGGTTGAGAGAAATCCACAAGGAAAGGTTAGATGCCCTGGAGTCAGCAATAGTGGCAACAGTGGGGGGCTGTGACCATGTCCTCCACCCCAGAGGAGGAGGGAAAGTCTACTGGAGCCCAGAGAGTGGCTGGCAGCAGTTGTGGTTTGGGGGTGAAAACACAGACATTGCTGCTGTGAGGCCCAGCAAGTGAGAAAGCTGGGGGGATAGAGTACCCTAATACCACTTTCCTCCTAGCCTCCAACCTTAGCTAGGATTTTCTTTTTTTTTTTTAAATATATATATATATATATATATATATATATATTTTAGTTTTAGCTGGACATAATATCTTTATTTTTTTTATTTTTATGTGGTGCTGAGAATCGAACCCAATGCCTCATGCATGCTAGGTGAGCGCGCTACCACTTGAGCCACATCCCCAGCCCACCTTAGCTAGGATTTTCAATTGGTCAAACCTAACTGAAGCACGAGGCATGGAGCTGGTTGATGTCATCACCAAGGTCAAGTTTGGGAAGCGTAGGGAAGGGCAGAAAGCATAGGGAAGAGCAGTAGTGGGTGGGGGACAGCAACCAAAGAAAGCCTGGCATAGTGATCTGGCTTAGCAATTCTAAAAGAGGAAGTTAGAAGTTAACCTGCTGTCATGCAGTACCCCAGCACAGATGCACAGGATGGGAGGCAGCCAGAGACAGAGGCAGTCATGGAAAGAGGTGTCAAGCATTCTAGCACTGTGGGGAACTGTGATCAGGGTCCCATCGTGGAGGGACAGTTAAGTTCTACTTAACTTAACCATTGCAAGGTGAACATGTATGTTCATAAGGAGGACTCTGAATCATCAACAAAGGCTAAATGTGGTCACTATACTATCAAACACTGTACTTTTATAGGGCAGGGAAGATTACAACACAGCTTAGAGAGACACATTCATTCAAAAGAAATCCAGCAGAGTGAGGTGTGGTGTTGCACACCTGCCCAGCTCCTGAGGAGGCTGAGACAGGAGGGTCACAAATTTGACGCCAGCCTAGGAAACTTAGGAAAATTCTGCCTCAAAAATAGAAAATAAAATGATCTGGGGATGTAGCTCAGTGGTATAGCCCTTGCCTAGCATGCACGAGGCCCTGGATTAGATCCCAAGAATTGCAAAAACAAACAAATAAAAACAAAAACAAACAAACAAAAAAATAGGTAGAAAAGGGCTTCCAGTTAAACATGCCAATTTATCTATGTGTCCCAGTCCTGTGTCTCTCTTGAAGTGCCACTAAAATGACAGAAAAAAAATCAAATGGTATAAATCCTCAAAGGCAAAGAGAATGGTAAAGGAGACATGAGTAGTTGAGAGATTTCCACAGGCAGGACTGCAGAGGGTCACACAGGCAGAAAGCAAGCTACTTTATGCTCATACACTGGGGGAGCACAGACTGGGGAGAGCAGGGAGTGTGGCTGGTGGGATAAAGTACAGGAGCCAGTTGGGGGTAGGAACCAAGGGAACTGGCTTGAAATCCTCCCTAGGTCCTGCCTACCCAATAAGAGAGACATAAGCTGGTGGGAGGACAGTTGGATATAGGGATGAAAACAGGTGAGGGGAGTACAGTCGCAGACTGATCAGTAGGACTCAATGTCCCACCACCTCACCCTGACCTGACCTAGGAATACATCACCTATGTGGGAGTATGGTAGATTCAAAACATGGCTGCTAATTTTTTTTTTTTTTTTGCCATTTCTCCCATTATGAGGTGGGTCTGTGTCTTCTTCCCTGAATCTGGGCAGGTTTATGACTCTAGTGGAGATGATGTATGTGGCTTCCAAGGCCAGGCCATATAGTGTCACACAGCTTCCATCTCGCTGGCCAGAACACTCACAGTAGAAACCTGAGCTACCGTGTAAGAGGTCCAACAACCAGGCCTCCATGCTAGAAAGGCCACGTGTCAGCAGGCCTTGTGGAGCCCTGCCTTCCAGCTATCCCAGTCTAGTGACAAACCACCTTGGAAGTGGATCCTTCAGCCCCAGCTGTTCCAGCTCACAGCCACCATTCCAGTTGCCCTGGCCACTCCAGCCATCCCAACCTAGTCCTAGACATTGCAGAACAGAGAACAGGGCCCTGGGTCCCTGATCTGCAGCATAATAAGATGGTAGTTGCTTTATGCTACTAAGTTATGGGGTAGTTTGTTATGCAGCAATAGTTAACTGGAGCACGGCATTGGAATGCTTCTCTTGAGAAGCTGAATGACTCCAGAGAGGTGTTGATCCTTTTAGGATGATTTTTGGAATTCAGTAGGATTCCCTGCATGTTTTACTCTAGACAGGGACAAAAAACAGGTTTATGAAGGTAGATCAGGAGCCACAGGGCTGAAGCCACAGGCCCCTCCTCAGATGTGCTAGAGGTCAGCTGCCTGAGCAGCTGAAGGGAGCTGCACACAGTCATCATTGTCTGGAGCTTGGAGAGAGGGGCTTTATGTCACCATATCCTCTACCAGAGGCTCCTGAGCCATGTTGGGTTGGGGAAGGACATACATGCATGCTAAGGCTGAGCATTTCTTCTGAGGGGCATCTCCGTGGGCACCAGCCCACAGAGTGACTTTCCTTTCTTTCTTTTCCTTCACCCATTGCCCTCTCCTCCCTGCCTCTGTCTCAGTCCTCTGGGGCGCTGCCCAGGGGCTATATAGCTGGCATGTCTACGAAAGGCAAATGGACTGCAGGTTTTTCTTTTCTTTTTCCAAACTTTTCACGCTTTAATTAATTTAAAAAGTATATAATACCTCTCTAGAGTCATTCCGCTTCTCATCGTTATATGAGTAGTATGTATTTCTTTCTTTCCTTTTTTATTGGCGCATTACAATTATACTGATACTGAGATTCATTGTCAAGTTCATAATATACATAACATAACTGGGTCAATCTCATTCCCCAGTACCTTTCCTTTCCCTCTAAGTAGTCTTTCTTTCTTTCTCTTTCTCTCTTTATTTCTTTTTTCTTCCTCCCTCCCTTCCTTCCTTCCTCTCTCTCTCTTTCTTTATGATTAAACTCAGGAGTGCAGCGCCACTTCCCCAGCTCTATTTTAATTTTTTTAGTTTGAGACAGGGTCTCAGCAAGTTACTTAGGGCCTCACTGAATTGCTGAGGCTGTCTTCAAACTTGTGATCCTCCTGCCTTAGCCTCCCAAGTCACTGGGATTACAGATGTGCACTACTGTGCCTGGCTAGTAGTATGTATTTCTTGTAGAAAAACAAAACAAAAAAAAATATATTGAAAATCACCCATGATTCTACCAGCTAAACACACACACACACACACACACACACACACACTACTGTTGCCAGGCTTCTACACAGATAAAAAAACTGCGGGTTCATGTCTCATCTGAACACCCTTCTGCTGAGCCCTGCCACAGGTGGGCTGTGCTGCAGGCTTTCAATGTGCTAACTTTACCACATCGTCCCAATTTGGAGGTAGGCATTCTATCCATTTGATAGGCAGGAGACAAACACTTAGGGAAGCTCACGTCTTGCCTCTGTCCCTGGCTGGCTCAAAGATGGGTGGTTCCAACCTCAGGCCGAGTCCAACGCTGCTTTCCTCTAACGCTATGCTCCCTCCCTCACGCCATCTTCACCTGGGTTTCACGTTTTGTAAGTTGGACTGAAATTGAACACAAAATCCGAGGAACCCTATGCTGTAAAGATGCTAGTAAATTTCCTCTCAATCTAGAAGAAAAATGTCTTTGATAGTTAAAGAAAGAAAAGAAAAAAAGCCAGAGAACTCTGTCAAGGCCGGATGAGTTGAGGTCTAAGCAGGAGTTCTGGAGAAATGGAGGGAGGCAAGGAAGGCAGAGCGGGAAGGCTGTCCAGGGGGCCTTCAGTCAGCTGTCCCCAAGGGAAGCACTGCCTCTCCAGGTGCTGTGCGTTGAATGTGGTTTGTCCCCTCTGAAACTCATACTGAATCTGACTGGCACTGCGGCAGTGTTGGGAGGCTGGACCTTTAAGAGGTGAGGAGGTTGTGGAGAGGGTGGGTTTGTTTTGAACCTCTCCCCTCCAGTTTTCTCTTTTGCATGCTTGCTACAGTCCTTTTACTTTCCCACCATGCTATGCCAGGCATGAAGAGCAAGATAAAACCACCTGATCTTGGCTTTCCCAAGCTTCCAGAACTATAAGCCTAAATAAACTGTTTTCCTTTATAAGTTATCCAATCTCAGGTATTCTGTTGTAGCAACAGAAAATGCAGTAAGATAGTGGGTTTAAAGACCTCACTGCTGCTGGGTGTGGTGGCACACACCTGTAATCCCAGCGGTTTGGGAGGCCGAGGCAGGAGGATCACAAGTTCAAAGCTAGCCTCAGTAACTTAGTAAGGCCTTAAGCAATTTAGTGAGACCTTGTCTCCAAATAAAAAATAAAAAAGGGCTCAGAATGTGGTTCAGTGGTGAGCACCCCTGAGTTCAATCCCCGGTACCAAACATGCAGACATAAATAAATAAATACCTCACTACTAACTCTGTCCCCCATCCTCAGGGTTCACATTCTGACTAGGAAGTCCACACTAGTCCCCTAGGTCATTACTTTATCCAGTTGCTGACACTTTCACACCCTGGTCTTCCTTGAATACACTCCAAGGTTTTTAAGTTGGGAAGTTCCCAGCTGGACATGGTCTTATTGTTTTCTTACTGTGATGTTGTTTTCCATCAATAGCTTGCAAACTCTGGCACCTGGAGAAAAAGGGAAAGTTAATGATGGAGACAGAGCACTCAGGGTAGACCTCTGACCCAAGCAAGCCTGGGTGGAAGCTGAGGGATGCAAAGCTTGGCTGTGACAAGTTCTTCAAAAGCTACGAGGTGTGAGCTGGCTGTGTGCTGGCCAAGAGAGACCAGCATGTGGCTTCCACCCAGGGGCATTCTCCTCTGGGAGGGTTTCCTTCTCACCCAGCTTGTTAATCATCCAGAGCTGGCAGAAACCTTAGTGTTCTTTCTATGCTGTCTTAAGGCCTTATATAAACACTAAGTGGTCCCTTCATTCATCTTCATGAATAAAGCTACTCATCAGATATTTATTTGAGCACCTATTAAATGCCAGGCATTGTCCAAGGGCTCTGGAGATACAGCAGTGGCTAAAACAGAAACAAAACAAAACAAAACAAAACAAAAAAACACTTGCTCTCATGGGCCTTGTAGTCTATTGGGGGATGAACAACTAAAAAAATAAATACATTAAATATTTGATAACCAGTGGTGGTAAGTGCTACCGAGAAAAGAATACAGCTTGAGAGAGGGGCTGGCAAGGAGTGTCTGGAAAGAGTGCCAAAACTCTAAGAAGTGTGTCCAGGAAAGGCTGGACATCTGAGAAGGTAAACTGTGAGCAAAGACCTAGAAGAAGTGAGAATATGGACCTTGAGAATTCGTGGGGAAGCAGGTTTCCAGGGGGAGGCAACAGCAAGTACTAAGGCTTGGAGGAGAGAGCCTGCCTGGCACGTTAGAGGCCAGTGAGGAGGGGGAGTGGCCAGGGCAGAGAAGAGGGGAAGGGAAAGGGGAGGAAAGAGAGGCTTCAGGTAGGAAAGAAAGGCCTGGGCTTTGACTCCTAGAGTCACTAGAGGGTTTTATAAGACAAGTGACACAATGTGACTCATGTTTTAAGAGGACCACTCTGGATGCAGTGTTGAGAATGAACTTGGGAGAAGGATGGAACCAGTTAAGGGGCGATCATAGAAATCCTAGGAAGCAACAAGCATGGCCTGGACCAGACAGGCAGCATGCAGGTGCCGAGATGCGGGCAGATTCTAGAAAGTGAAGCCAGCGGGATTTACTGATGGACTGGAAGTGAGGTTAAAAAAAAAAAAAAAAAGAAGAGTGAAGGAGGACTCCAAGGATTTGGGCCTGAGCAAGTGGGAGGATGGAACTGCCGTTTTCTGAACTGTAGATACCTACAGGGTGGGGATGTTATAGGGAGACAGCTAAAGAACTCAGGGTTCTACATTGTTATATTTGAATCTGAAATGTCCCCCAAAAGCTCAGGTGTTGACAGTATGGTCCCCAATGCAGCAAGGTTCAAAGGTGGGGCATTTAGGCAGTGACTGTATCAGTGAGGGCTCTGATCTTATCAGTTGATTGATCCATCAAATAGATCCACAGCTGAATGGATTACTGGGAAGGAGGGACCTTGTTAGAGGAAGCAGGTCACCAGGAGTGTTCCCTACAAGAAGTTTCTTTATTTTATTTATTAATTATGTGATGCTAAGGATCGAATCCAGTCAGTGTCTCACACATGCTAGGCAAGGGCTCTGCCACTGAGCTACAGCCCCAGCCTCTTAGAAGGTTTTCTTCCTGGCTGCCATGAATTGAGCAGTTCACTACCACCCGCTTCTACCATGATGTTCTGCCTCACCTCAGGTTCAATGGAATGGAGCCAGCTGACCATAGACTGAATCCTCGGAAAATGAGAGCCCAAAAGCAGCTTTCCTCCTCTAAGTTGTTCTTGTCAGGTATTTTGGTCACAGTGATGAAAAGCTAACACAGACATGTTACGTGTGAGATGTCTTTTGGACACTTGGCTGGAGATATCCAGGGGAGAGTCTGGAAATGAATATTTGTGAGTGTTCAGCATGTAGCTCTTCGAAGTCAAGATGACCATGATGTAGAATGGAAGTCAGTGGAGAAGCCATCCAAGGACGGCATGCCACTCAACAGCTCAGCAACTCAGTTCGAGAAGTAGTGGCAAGAACATTAGGAGAAGGGATTCCAAGGAGGATGGAGCAATTCACTGAGCAAGTTCCTGCAATACAAGGACAAAGAATTAACAACTGGATTTAGCGTCCTGGAGTTACCAAGATCCTGGTCATGAGAGATTCAGTGGAATGGGTGGGATGAGCACCGGAGGAGTGAGTTCAAGAGAGAAGCTGAAGTCCTGAACTGGGGGACCGAGGTGGATGGCAGCCACAGTAGGGCTGGAAGCAAAGGAGCCAGGGATCATAGGATAAATCAGTTTTCCCTTTACTTTCCTCAAGTGTGAAATGCAGAGCACAAAGCTGGTTCATCCATGATACCCTTAAGTGGGAAGTGCCATTACAATGCTGGGCTAGGCCCCCTGGGTGCCAGGTGTCACCATTTCTGGCGCCTCGAGTCAGATATCCCCCCCCTCCCAGATTGCCATGAAGTAATTCCCATTTTCTCATGTGTAGCTCTGGGATAAATGGCCATAGCTTGGGGCTGCTCAGCAAGTTCTGTTTCTTACAAATTAAGATCTAGCCTTAGTCCCTTCCCTGATAGGAAGTCAGAGTGAGCAAGACAGGCAGGGGCCTCCCCTCAGGAAGCTTGTCTTCTGATGTAGGACGTAAATGATCACCAGGTAGCAGATGAGCAGGCAGGTAATTTCAAATACCAACAAGCACTCTGAAGACACAAAAATGGAGTGAAAGATAGAAAATAAATGCGGATAACCCACCTTCAGTCCGGCTGTGTGGTCAGGCAGACTCTCTGGGGGAATGAGATTTATGACACAGCCTGGACAATGATGCCCAGCTGATTCTCGAGCTGGGCCCTACTCCACTGCTCTCAGGCCTCCCCTGTGGCATTTACAGTATTTACATTCTTGGGACAAGGCCAGGGCCCAGAGTGGCCTTAGGTTCAGAGCCAAAAGGAAATATTCTTTCTCCCTTCTCTCTCTGGTTCACATTGTGGGACTGTTTCTCCACGATTACACAAGGCACACATTTCCACTGAAGACCAGGAAACTACTGAAAACAGAAGAAGGAAAAAACCAAGCAAAACCCCCAGAGTCACATAATTCTACTACTTGGAGACGGCTAACTATAAGTTGCACTTGATATGTACCCTTCCAGATATTTTTCTGTGCATATATAAATTTCTTTTTTAACATATATATTTTTAATTATAGGTGGAAAGAATATCTTTATTTTATTTCCATGCAGTGCTGAGGATTGAACCCAGTGTCTCACACATGTGAGGCGAGCGCTCTACCACTGAGCCACAATCCCAGCCCTATAAATTTCTTTAAAAAAAGGTATATTATGTTTTGTAATCTGAATTTTTGAACACATCTGTTATAAAGCACTCTTCTCAAGTTATTAATTTTCTTCTTCAAGATGATTTTTAATGATTGCACAGTATTTCATTACATATACATTGCTTCTGGTGATTGCTACTATGAGTAAATGCTCCAATAATCTTGTGTCCTTTTTCTTGGGGGGTGGTAGTGGTGGAGGTTGTGAAGCAGATTATTTCCTCCGGGTTGTGGCTTAGTGGCAGAGCACTTGCCTCACACATGTGAGGCACTGGGTTCAAGCCTCAGCACCGCATAAAAATAAATAAATAAATAAATAAATAAATAAATAAATAAATAAAGTCATATATATATAAAGATTGTCTGGTGTTGTATGTCCTTTAAAAAAAATAAAAAGAAAACATCTCTTTCCAGTGATATTTTCCAAGGGGTTTCCAGAGTCAGTCTCTGCCTTCCATGAGTGGCATGTCCTGAGGGAAAGGGAGTTCTGGAGGATGCAGTGGGGAAAGCACAAGCCCTGGAGGCCCCCCGACTTGTTGGCTTTGAGTCCTTGCTCTGACAATTCCAGTTCACCCAAGACAAGTGACCACTCAAGGAAAATAAGCCCACTGCGAGGGACATGGATCTGATTTGTTGACTGTTAGATCTGCAACACTTAGCATGTAGTAAATGTTCAATAAATACAGGTCTCGAGGGAGCCCAAGGCTAAAGGGAAGGAAGGGCAGAAGCTGAGCCCCAAACACGGGGGGCCACTTCCATCCAGACTCATTTAACTCTCTGACATACATTGGTCTTCCCTTTTCTTCCTTATGGGTTTAAGCTGCAGGAAAACCATAGTCCCTCCCATAAACCCAGAGAAATCCAAGGGGATTTCCCACCTCAGCCAGAAACAGTGTCCCTCTGGGGCCCCAGAACAAAGATGGCTCCCCTCCCCTTGGGGGAATTCCCTTGGGAAAGCTCCTCCCTCCATGGAGAAACATCCCAGTGGTCAGGCACTGGACCAACGTGGCTTTGGGTCAGGGCTGCTTGCGGATTGCTGGGCAAACAGAAAGCTCTACAGAAACAGCCTGTCTCCAAACCCAGGATTATTCCCAAATCCTCAAATTCTCCAAGGGGCTGCCAGGCACAGTCTGTGGCCCCATGAGGGGAGTGTAATGAGAGTTCTGGAGTGTGAGGTGGGAAAAGCACCAGCCTAGAAGGCCACCAGACCTGGCTTTGAGTCTAGCTCTGACTCATTCCAGCTTAGCCGGGGCCACCTGTGGAACGAGGGAGGGACACGAGTCTATCTTGGTGGCTGTTAGACCTGAAACACTTAGCACATAGTAAATGTTCAATAAATATGACACCAGGGCAACATGTGGTCCTTTCTGAGCCTGTGTTTGCTTATCTGCAACATGGGGATGGTAACATATCTCATGGGCTTGCTGTGAAGACTAAACTAAATGTGGGTAAGACATACAGGTGCTTAGTGCTCAAGAAATACTAGAGTCCACAGCCCTGGAGGGTTGTTTCTGCCATGCCCCAGGCCCCATGGCACAGAGAGGAAGATTTGCAGTTCCTCCTTATTAGACCGAATTAGTTTGCTTCTATTCCATTTGCTGTCCCCACCCAAACATAGCTGGTATAGCATGTCCAACCTCCTCACCCTACCTGCAGGCTTCAGGGCAGCTGAAGGACGAGAGGCGTGCCTCTGTACAACACTAGGAAGTAAGCAAGGTCATTATCTCCATTCCACAAACAAGGAAACAGCTTTAGGAAGGTGAGGTGGCTTGCCCAAGTCACACAGCAGGGATAGGCAGAACAAGACTTGAGCCTGTGATTCCTGGGCCTGTGCTCTGTTCTAGGTAATTCTCTTGCAAAGGGACTTGGGGGTGAAGAATAAGTGACCAATTGAATGTCCCTACAAAAAAGGTAGGCTGAACTCTAGATGGAAGGTAGTCTTTGGTGAGTCGTCAAAGTACCACTCACATGAGTCCCAGCCCACCTTCCTGTGGAGCTTTATGTGTGCAGCAGCTGTGATGCCTAGGGACCCTGGGTTTAGCTGGGCTGGGATAGGCTGATGGAAAGGGGCAGGAGGCCAGGCTCCATCTACCAATGTGGAGTCCTGTCAGCAAGGAGACTTGGGGACCCTTAGCCCAGGTAAGGTGGCTGCAGGGCACTTGCTCCAGAATTGGCCCAGCTGCAGCTGTGGGGCAAATAGGGCTCCCGACAAGGGCACAAGTGGCTTGAGTTAGTCATTTCTGTGAGCCCAGGACCCACGTGGAACCTGATGTGGTAAAAGTTGAATAAAGGATCCCTGAGTCCCCAGCATCAGGGACCAGTAGCTAGACTTAAGCCAGGGATGTGAAGGGAGGGAACAAGAGGTCAGGTAGGGGGATTTAATGACCAAGAATGACTTCAGTCTCCCTTCCCCCTAAGAAAATGGAATTGTTGGGCTGGAGTTGTAGCTCAGAGGTAGAGCACTCACCTAGCATGCCTGAGGCACTGGGTTCGATCCTCAGCACCACATAAAGTAAAATAAAGACATTGTGTCCATCTATAATTAAAAAATAAATTTTAAAAAAAATGGAATTGTTTCAGGAAGGCATGTCCATGGCTGATTCACCTTTGTCTCTACACCACGCCTAGATTATGTTAGAGAGAACTGATAGTAAGTACAGCTTATTGGTGGTATAACTGGAAGTCAGTTTACAGGATGACAGGTGGTATGGGCTTGCATGCATGGGCCATCAGGGAAAGGGCAAGTCCCACTGGTCTACTGTGTCCTGACTGGGATGGGCCTTTCCCTCACAGAGTGTGGCTCCCTTCCCAGCTGGCCTGTGGCTAAGTCTCCCTTTCTTAGTCTAAGAGAGTCCATTTGGAGGAAACTACTGGTTCTAAGTGATTCCCTAGTGGAAGAAATGGAGTTTGGGTTGTAATGTCCTTTCCTCTGGGAGCTCCCTAGGCCACAAGAAAGAAAAACACAGACCAGTTATCTCCTTATTGAGACTAAAACTGACACTTTTGCCTAAATGGTTGAAGTGACTTTTTCCCATCCCACTTGCCATCTCCACTGCATGCATAGATGGCTACAGATAATCCCAATGCTTCATATTAAAAATACACCTTGATGGGATTCTTGTTTGTCTGTTGGTATAAACTGAGTTGCCTAAGCAGGTGTGCTGCATGGGGTCAGCACAGGCCCAAAGCAGGTGAATTTATCACCTGCTTGTCTGTGTAGCTTTAAGCTTCAGGCCAAGGATGCTCCAAATCCCAGAGTAAGACAACCTTGGAGACCAGGACCTTATGCCACCTTCATCCACCATGGCCCTACGTCTATAGAATCACCTGTAAATTCCTCGAACAGCAGCCAAAGGCCTACTGGCTCTGGCCTACTGTACCCGTCCATTCCTCCTCCATCCTGCACTTCACTCACCTGTGCCTGGGGTGAGGGCCAGTTGCCTAGACCTGCTGGATTTTGCTTAAGCCAGTGGTTCTCAAAATGTAGTCCTCAGACCGAGTTCATGAAAAGTTCAATTTACAGGTCTTTTCATTTATAGCTGGTGCTTTTTTTTTTAAAACCAGCTTAAGCAATCTTTATCTTAATAGCAAGAAGTCCAGTGAATACAGCAATAATGATGAAAATTATTAGTATCAAACATCACAAAGTGAAGGAGAAAGCTTGATGGTGAGTGTGAGAGGCCTGCATGCGATTATGAGGGTGAGTTTACTTGGTGTGACAGGCGAAAGCTGAGCCATATTCCGCAAACACAGGAGCATATGCCCAGTTTGGATCGGATGTCACAGGCTTGTGTGATTGTGTGTGTCACTCGTGTGATCGGATGTCACACGAGATTAGGGAGACCCTGGATAACTGGCTCACAAGATGGACCATGCTTTTTATGGGTGTTAAACTGGGCCCAGGCCCCCAATCCCTGCAAACACCCCACAGTCAGGCCCTGCTTCTCTGTGCCAGAGCCTGCAAAGAGAGCAGTGCTGACACTGGTCCAGCTGGCTCAACAAAGGGGAAATTCTCTCCTCCTTGAGTCACCACACTGACAGTGGGAGTCGCATAGCAAGCGCTGGGCTACAAACGATCTGTATGCTTGTTTCACTATGCCCCATCAGTTCCAAAATCCCCTGTGATGCTTTTACATCAGCACCAGATCCAAAAACTTTCCCCATGTTTCCCCTAGTTCAAAGAGAACAATACACTAGGAATCAAAGCTACATCATCATCAAACTGACTCCCCCCCAAAAAAAGATCCTGAACTCAAGGTTCTCTGAGCTTGCCATCCAGAGTGACAAGGCCCCTCCCTACCTCTTCTGCTGGGGAAGGGGTGGTATCAGGCTTGGGGGCTCCTGTCACTTTGCCAAGAGGACCCCAATCTGCCAGATGGACACAAACTGCTACCTGCTTCTTCTACCTGAAAGCCAGCTCCAGCATCTCCTCGCCCAGCTGCATGCTGGTACATGAAGGTTCAGTGTACAAGTCCTAACACCCCGGCTCCGTGTCACTGCTGACGGAAAGATACCTTTTCTCTAGGACAGGCAGTGACCACAGTTGGCAATGAACACTCACTAATGATATTTTCCACAATTGGTCTTGGGCAAAACCTCTGAGGTGGCACTTGGAGTCCTTGCTCATCCCTGTCCCCTGCCCTTACTACCACCTTTCCCACCTTCCCTCTCACAGGAACTTAGAACTCCGGGGTAGGACCAAAGGGGTTCCTGAAATTCCCAGATGGTCCACACAATTCTGGAAGTTTGTGAATTTTCCTGGGAAAAGGTTCTATCTATTGCATTAGATCCTGGAGGGGTTGTGAAACCTCAAGTAGGCTAAAACCCAGTAGACAAAGCCCTCTTTGAATTGAAGCACATAATTTGGATAAAGTTAATTTACACTAGTGAGTTATATATCTTTAGTTAACTGCATTTCCAAAAACGATATCTGGGGAAGGAGATTATTTAACCAAAACAAATTTCAAATGACAAAACTGATAGCATTAAGCTACTCCCCCAGTACTAAGACTAAGGCCAATGGGGACAGGAGTTGGTGACTAGGATATGCTAAAAGACACAAAAGCATTACTCAGAACCTCAGCTCCAAGGTTTGAGAAACCCTCCAGACCACCAAGGCTGCTAAGACTCTAAGAGAGAAGGGAACGTTCCCCATCAAGGCTTAGGAGCCCAGAACACTATTTTCATCATCATGTTAGGTTGTCAAACGGGAAGAGCCTGCCCGGACACATGCTTCCTCCCCAAAGAGCCAAACCCCCAGGAGACCTATGTCTGCTCCATCCTGGGTCCCTGCTCTCTCATGGTAACAAGACACAGCTGCCCATATGAGGAGCAATCTGGGGCATCCTCCTCCCTCCCTCTATGCCTTCCTCCCACACACACAGCTGGGCGCTTCCTCCCCTGCACTCTCTAGAAGCCAGAGCTCCCCCTCACCCTGCCCCACTCACAGTCAGGAGGAAGTGATTCTGCAAGGCTCCCAGGAACTTCCAGGGCTGGCTCAAGGCACCAGACTGTTAAATAAGTGGGATTTTTTCAATGCTTTCAGAAACTGTTGTTTAAAAGATGTAACCATCCAAACTGTTTATGTAACCCTTGTGAGGTCTCAGCAGATATGGTTCCCTATTCATAAATGTGGCCAGAACTTAAAATAAAAAGAGGGGGTGTCAAAAATCAGAGAGGTTGTCACATTATAGCTGTATGCTTGCGCGACTGACTTCAGTTTTTGCTCTAATTTGAGAAATCTCTTTTTATTCACTTTTCTCTTTTTTGGGTTTCTTTTCCCTTGGTGTCCGCCGCTGTGTATCAGATGCTCCTGACAGTTTCTGGGAACATGAGACATGTCTCCCTGAAATGGAGCCCAGAACTCAGGCTCGAATAAGAATTTTCAGAATGGCTGAAAAATGATAAATGCTGGAATTCATCTAACAGCCTAACAATATCCAATTCTTACTGATATTGCACATCTACACCTTTAGGAGTCTGCCCTGCCTCTGGGTTGTCCTCACAGGAGATGGGCATCATCCTACTTGGTCTGACTCTCAGAGGTTCAATCTCTGGGGCTATGGCAACAGAATCCACAAGGCCCCCATTACCACAAACCCCAATTATAGAGGTACCGCACAGTTCCTGAGGATGATCTTGGTATGAAGGGGGGATATGGGCTTCTTTCTAGAATTATCCGGGGGCCTCCATTATGTAGCACGGGGAATCCAACTACAACCTGGCTCTGACAGGAAAACATCCTCTTTTGTATTAGAAAGCTGTTATTCTTTGGAGTAACATAGTGGTTTGGCCCATGACATTTTTGGTGACAAGGAATCTGATGAGAACTATATCTTGCCACATACCTGATGCAATAGCACCTGGGCGGAAGATTTGTAGCTTCCAAAAATGAGCCTGTGGATCTAGAGATAAGAAGCCCTGGGCTACATCTTCTTTAGACTACAAAGTCTCTTAGAATTCCTATCCACTGCCCAGCTGGCTCCAAAAACCAAGGCCTTGGCCAGAAGTTTCCACCCTATGTTTTTTCCCTGTGGGAGAAGGCAGAGGCACAGGGCCCTCATGCCTGGATGGAGAAACCCTGGGGTTCCCTCTGAGGGAACAGTTTGGAGCAGTGAAGGGGTAGGGAGGTCATGGTCACCCATGCTCTAGCCTCCTTCCACTGAGGGACAGTGGCAAAGGGACATCATCTTAGCACACCGAAAGGAGAGTGGCAAGGCGGGACACGGAGCCAGTGCTGCCTCTCTGTTCTCTCCATAGCTGCTCATCCCCACCAGGTTTTGCTGTCATTCCCCACTGTGCCCACCCCAGAAACTCTTGGCTGCTCCCCATAGGGACATTCTTTAACTGGTGGGCATGGGAAAGAGCAAGAGGAGAAATATCATTGCCACCCTTCCAACTTCCCCCAGCCATTAACCTTCACTCAGACAATGATTACCCATCTGATCTGGAGATCAGTGTGGGTACAATGGCTCTTCTTAGGCCCTAAAGAGAAGGAGTCATGGGCAAGTGCAAAATCTCAACTCATAAAGTGGCTTCAAGTACCCACCTATTGACCTAAGGCAATAGAATGATTACTTAAGCAACAACAACAACAACAACAATAAAAACCACCATCAGCACTCTAGGGTCTTTCCCATTTAGGAAAGAAAATATAAGGAGAGGGAGATATTCTCTAGTCTTAGAACTCTGGCTTGGCTCCATACTGGGTGATCCCCAGCAACAGGAAACACCTTCCCCCTCTCCCTTTCCAAGGTTACAATTAAGGTCCTAGGTGATTCAACAAACATTTATTGACCATTTAAGGCAACCAACCCATTCCAGCAGCTGGAGTTCTGCAACCTTGAGGTTCTTTGGGAATAGCAGGGAAACAGCTCAGTTAGCATTCACTGTGTACCTACACTGTGCCAGGTTTAGGGATTGTAGGGGACAAAACTCTGAAGGAGAAAAAAAAAAAGGAACCAGATACTCCAAACTTTACTAATCAACAAACTGCACAGCAGGAGCAAGGAACTGATTAATTCTGTATGGGGGGATCTGTGACCCAGAGTAGGTTGCAATTCAGTAAGGTCTTGAAAACATTATGAAGCAGGGTACAGTCATGCACACCTCTAATCCCAGCAACTTGGGAGTCTGAGGCAGGAGGATCACAAGTTGAAGGCCAGCCTGGGTAACTTGGAGAGACCCTGTGTCACAATAAAGAATAAAAAGGACTGAGATTGTATAACTCAGTGGTAGAGCAGCCCTGGGTTCAATTCCCAGTACAGGAAGAGAGAGAAGAAGAAGAAAACTCCTTTTTTTTTTTTTTTTGTATAGTTGGAAAGGAGTGGCATTGCAGGCAGAGATAACTGAATGTGCAAAGGTCAGGGTTAGGGGGTGGCATGAACAATTGGTCATGCAGCGTATGGCATGTAGTCAAGCCAATGGCACCAGGGCATGGGGTCTGGGAGCAGGGAAAGAAGAGATAAGGCCAAAAGGCAGACTGCAGTTTATGGCAGCCAACGGACGACACTTGCCATTCAGAGAAACTGATACAAGGAGTACAGGAGCCTAGCAACCTGCAGCTTCAGGAGCTGCGACATCACTCAGGTCAAGGCCACGTTGCCTCCTAGGCAGCTCCCAAGCCAATGGCAGAATATGGCAGGAGGCCTGGGCCAGTTTGTTTCTGCCCAGTGGACTCATCTACTGGGCAGTCTTTGGCCAGAGCTCCCCACTGGGCTTGTTGAGATGTTTCCAGAGTTGCAGCCCAGTCTGAAGTTCTTCCTACCTGATTCTCCTTTCTTCCCTTTCTGTTCCTAGGAGCTAGACAGCGACTTCTGTCTGAAGGCTGCTCTTTTTCTCTGCCTTTATCTTTCATAGGTGTTACCAGCCTCCCCAGGAAACCTCCTGAAGTTCTACTTCTGTTTGCTCTCTGCTTCCCAGATGGTCCCAACTGGCTGAGAAGGAGCTAGGATGAGTGTTAAAAACTTGGCACTGAGAAGCCTTTGAAGTATTTCAAATAAAGCAAATCACAATCAGATCTGAGTTTTATAAAGGTAATTCCAGCAGCAGAGTGAGGAACAAAGAGGTGGGGGAAACAATGGGCAGTGAAAGTCTTGGGGATATGGCTCAGTGGTGGAGCACTTGCCTAAACATGTGCAAGGTTCTGGGTTCAAGCCCTAGATCATGTACACACACACACACACACACACATGGCAGCAAAAGAACCATTTAAAAGGACCTTGCATTTACTTGGTACAAGGTTTTGACTAAGGACAACTGCTGGATGCATGTACAACTTACCATGTATGTTTCCCCATGAACTCAACAATCCCAACTTTAGAAATCTGTTTTATAGAAACACTAGAACAAATGCATAAAAGTGTAACAAGGAAGATATTTTGTTTAGAGCATATATTTATGAATATATGTATAACATAGTGCACACACACATAATTTGTTTATTTTGGAAAACTTGATGTTCACCCATAAGGAAGATGATGAAATAATGGTACATCCATGCAGCAGAATATATACCATGCAACATTTAAAAAGTCTACCGTGGGTTTCTATGTACTGCCATAGAGAAAGATGTACACAATATATTGCTATCTGTAAAAATCAAGCTGTTGAGGCTGCGTGCAGTGGCAAACCTTACTACATTGCTGAGGCTGGTTGCTCAGCTTGGGGGGCTGAGGCAGGGGGATTTCAAGTTCAAAGCCAGCCTCGGCAATTTAGGAGGCCCAAAGCAACTCAGCAAGACCTTGTTTCTAAATAAAAATAAAAATAGGGCTGGGGATGTGGCTCAGTGGTTAAGTGCCCCTGGGTTCAATTCCCAGGACCAAAACAAAACAAAACAAAAGTCAGTTACTGGACAAAGCATGTAGTGCAATCCCATTTTCATAAACAAAACTATGTGTGTGAAGTTTTTGATGTCCATTTTTCCTTTTATTTCTTATTCTGATTATTTATTTATTTTTATGGTGATGGGGTTTAAACCCAGGGCCTTGTACAGCCAGAGTTATATACTCAATTACTGAGCTATGACCTCAGTATGTATGTATGTATGTATGTGAGTGTGTGTACATGTATATATATGTATATGTGTATATATATATTTGTTTTGGTCCTGGGAATTGAACCCAGGGGCACTTAACCACTGAGCCACATCCCCAGCCCTCTTTGTATTTTTATTTTTATTTAGAAACAGGGTCTTGCTGAGTTGCTTTGGGCCTCCTAAGTTGCTGAGGCTGTCATTGAACTTGAAATCCTCTTGCCTCAGCCTCCAAAGCCCAGCAACCAGTTTCAGCAACATAGTGAGGCTTGCCACTGCACGCAGCCTCAACAACTTGATTTTTATATATAGCAATATATTGTGTACATCTTTCTCTAAGGCAGTACATAGAAACCCATAGTAGTCTTTTTAAATATTGCACGGTATATATTCTGCTGCAAGGATGTACCATTATTTCCTCATCTTCCTTATGGGTGAATATCAAGTTTTCCAAAATAAACAAACTATATATTTGTGTGTGTGTGTGTGTGTGTATGCACTATATGATATAGTGCGTGCACACACATATAATATATATATTCATAAATGTATGCTATTAAAAACATATATAATTTGTATATATATGTTTATATTTGTATAGCTGGGTCTGGAGGGAGCTATATCAACTGTTTACAGAGGTTACCTCTGGGTGGTGGTAGTTATTTCACATGATTTTAGACAGTTATAGTAAAAAAGTATCTGGGGTTCATTTGTCTTTGGTTTGGTGCTTTCTGTATTTTCTCATTTTAGAAACAATGAACAGGGTTCATTTCTTTTCCTTATCAAAAACAAAATTTTCATTTAAAAAGCTTCACATCTACTTGGAAAGAAATATACAAATTCTTCATATTGCCCTTTTGAGACCAACAGAAGGATCCTGGGATAGTTGGGAGGCTGTCCCTGGCCTGATCAAGGTAAACAGAAACGAGAGACCAGCTGTACTAGCACTGAACGCAGGGTGGCAAAGTTCCAGAAGAAGCCCAAAGTTCTATCTGCTATCTCAGGCAGTGGGCAGATGACCCACAGAGGCAAGGCAGGAGGCGGCAGGCTGTGTGCTGAGGGTCTTCACAGTGGCTCTGCCACAGTGGGTAGGGTAAACAAGAGGGGATGCTGGTTCCTGTTAGCTTGAAAGAATAGTTGGGACTAGAAACTTGTGACCTACCAAAGATTAGATGCTCACTAATTGTACCAAGCAATGGACTAAAATGCTAAATGTAAACAGTGATATCAATTTTTAGAAAAATATTGGGGAATACTGATCTGACTCAGTAAGAGAAAAACTTGAAATAAAAGATCAAATAGCATTCTAAGAGTCTGGAAATTTTATCTCCATCATAAATGAGCATCAAAGCAGTGGTACAACTATAATCCTAGTGATTTGGGAGGCTGAGGCAGGAGGATTGCAAGTTCAAGGCCAGCCTCAGCTACTTAATGAGACCCTGTCTCAAAATACAAAATAAAAATGAGCTGGGGATGTGGCTCAGTGGGTAAGCACCTTGGGCTCGATCCCCAGTATGAAAAGTAAATACATTAATAAATAAATAATAAACACCATTACTTTAAAAACAAAACCCAAAGAAAATCCAAGACAAATGAAAACTGGGGAGAATATTTATAGCAACATCAACAGAGAGGAAATATCATTTAGATGTAAACACAGGTCAGTAATAAAAAAAAAATTGCTCCAAATAGAAACAAAACATTTTGTATTGGTTAGAATCTGATTGAATTATAAAATAATAGAAAACAACAGTGGCTTAAGCAAGATGGAATTTATTTCTGTCACACACAAAAAAAGGACAATCACAGTGACTTGGGAGGCTGAGGCAGAAGGATCCCAAGTTTGAGCCCAGCCTCAGCAACTTAGTAAGATTCTGTCTCAAAACAAACAAATAAAAGGGCTGGGTATGTAGCTCAGTGGTAAACTGCCCCTGGGTTCAATCCCCAGAACCAAAAAAAAAAAAAAAAAGCCCGAAGTTGGTAATCAGAGACCTGAATTCTAGCCCATCCACACCTCTCATTCTCACAGTCCACAGTGGTTGTTAGAGTGCTAGCCATCACACCTCACTGAAGAAAGTAGGTGGGGAAAGTGTGTGGGTGGAGGAGGTGAGTAGAATTCATATATATACTGCTGCCTTTTAAGGAGACATATGCAAGTCCCATGTGACACTTTTCATTTATATCTCATTGGCCAGAACTTGGTCATGTGGCCACACCTAGCTGCAAAGTTGCCTGGGAAACCGTTTTTCCACTATTATAAAGGGCTTGGCTGACAATTGGCTTGTTACTAGGAAAGAAGGAAGGAACGGACTCTGGAAAGCAATGAGCAGGCTCTAATATATATGTGAACAAAATTATCAAAAGAAAGCAAGTGCAAAGATTTTTAAGGGGTTGGCCTGCTTAACCTTCAAATCTACGTAAAGCAGATGGTCTCCTCCAGCTGAGATCTTGAAGGGCTGGTGGGACAAGCCAGGAGGACCGTCAGGAAGTAACTGTCTTCTTAACAACCTTGACACAGTTGCTCATGAATAGAATTCCAGGGTTTAAAATGCCTTCCAGCTCACCAGGCAGCTCAGGGGCCCAAGGACAACTTTCTGGCCATTGTCCCCAGGTCTCCCTCTAACCCCAAGTGACATCAGATTCTAAACATGCTGGGAAGTAGAGAAAATTCTGCACCCAGGGATTCTTTATAACTAAACTATGGAAAGAATTAAATTTTAGGTGTTTTTGAAAGTTCCTTAAAAAAAAAAAAAGTAGTACCCTCATGAAACTGAATCAGCACTTTTCGGAACTTAAAAAAAAATAAAAAGTACCTCTACCTTGTATTGGGGGGGTATCACTGTTAAGTATGAAAATTGATCACTAAAATAAGGACCAGTGTTGGGAAATGGAGGGCAGTATTAGGCAACCCCAAGTTGCCTCTTTCGAAAAATTTAGGACTTTACTTTGACCCTAACAGACCATGATGTCAATGCTGTGCCCTTCAGAAAGCAGAGAGAAGGATCCTTGAGAGCAGAGGGCATGGTAAGTGTGGGCACCCAAGGTTTCTCAAGTCCACGGTTCTAGTTTAACAGACATTGTGCCCTTTCTCCATCTCAGACTGCCACCGGGCACTTCTCATTTTTTAATCTGAAAGCTGACCTTTGGCACTCACTTCTAATTCTGACATTTTTAAAAAATGGGTGTGGAATAAGAAACAAAATGGCAGAATAAATGGATATTTCATGGAGTCCAGGGAGGTGGTCTGCAGTTTGTGGGAAACAATGTGATCTGATGATGAAACATGGATGTGCTTTTGAATCAGGGACACCCAGATTTGAGACCCAGCTCTCTTATTTAGCATCTGTGTACCCTTGAACATGTTATTGGACTTCTCTGAGCCTCAGGTTCCTTGTTGTGTGTGTGTGTGTGTGTGTGTGTGTGTTTGTACGTACTAGGGATTGAACCCAGGGCCACTTAATCACCAAGCCACATCCCTTTTAAATATTATATTTAGAGACAGGGTCTCACCAAATTGCTTAGGCCTCACTAAGTTGCTGAAGCTGGCTTTGAACTTGTGATCCTCCTGCCTCAGCCTCTCAAGATGCTGGGAGGTTCCTTGTCTTAAAGGAGGGCCTAAACAGTCTTTACCTCATAAAACTATTGCATAGTACGGTCCTGCAGGACACAGATGCCATACTCAAACTTTATTTACAAAGATACGGGAAGAGCTGAGGGCAACTCACACGGGATAGTGAAGCACTGTGGAGCTTGGTGTGAAGGACAGGAAGAGGTAAGAGGGCCCAGAGAAGGGAGCTGTTGGAGTGGACATCTGGCAGGAGCTCTGAGCTCCAGTGGGGAGGATGCAATTGGCCTGCAGCAACCGGATGAGGACCCAAGTGAATCAACACTTGACCTCATCTTCCTATGTCCTTGGATCTCTTGCTGGTGCTTCCCATTGGCTAAGCCCAACCAGAAGCCAGAGGCAAGGGAAGTGGGTGATGTGGCCCATCAAGTCAGCTCCCAGCACAGAGTGGGTACAGAGGGTGGAAGGGTAGATCTTCAAAGGCAAACAGAAGATTAAGCAAATTAGAGAATGTGATGAGCTTAGCATAGTGCTGAGAATGTAGTAAGTCCACAAGTCCTTAATGCATGTTCATTTATTTTGGACTTTGGACTCTCTCTCTGCCTTTTTTGCTTACTCTTACTTCCTGGTTTTCAATAGATCACATACATGGTTGAGGTGACTTAAAGCAGCTAGGTGTTGTTAACCATACTGGAATGTTTATAAGGAGTAATACATGTGTAAAGTGGATAACCATGTACTCTGGGGACTGGGGATGAGAGGGAGGAACAAAAGAAGGGCAGTAGGTTAGAGCCGAAGATGGGAGAAATTCCTGTCTTCCCTAGCAGGCCAGAACAAACACACAGGATTATCTTACTTTACAAACAAATTAGGCACTTACTGGGAGGTGATAACATCTCCTTTACAAGCGGGTAGCCCAGGGAGACTGGCCAGAAAGGGATTTTGCAAAGAAGGTCTTCATGCCCTAAATGTAAAGCCTGGGTTTATTTCTAGATTAACAGGTTTTAAACTCAGCATCCCTGTCCCCAGGGAGTCAAACCTGGATGTTTACTTGCATGCTCCCACCTGGGTGCCTAGTTGAGGCCTATCTTCTATTCTGATTTGGCAAATAGCTGCTTAGAGTGAACTGGCCCTTCCCTGAGATGGTCCC